AAATCTAGACGATACCTCTTTAATTAACTGATCCAGTTAACATCAGCAATGGGATAAATGCAAAGCATGCATCATATTCTAGGTTGCAAAGAAATGCAGTGGCCAGGCATGGTGGCTCACGCCTGTAATCCTAATACTCTGGGAAGCCAAGGTGTGTAGATTGTGTGAACTCATAGGTTTTAGACCAGCCTAAGCCAGAGTGAGACCCTAGCTAAAAATAGCCGGGCCTTGGGGCAGGCACTTGTAGTCCCCGCTACCTGGGTGGCTGGGACAGAAGACTCACTTGAGCCCTGGAGTTTGAGGTTGAAGTGTGCTATAATGATGCCACTGCACTCTACCATAGGTGACAAGAGTAAAACTCTCCAAAAAAAAAAAAAAATCAGAAACAATGAATGAACCTGAAAAACAATATGCTGGCAGCGCCCATATCTCAGTAGGTAGGACACTGGCCACACACACCTAGCTAGGCTGGCCAGTTTGAACCCAGCCTGGGCCAGCTAAAACAACAATGACAATGGCAAAAAAAAAAAAAAAATAGCCAGGTATTGTGGCAGGCGCCTATAGTCCCAGCTACTTAGGAGGCTGAAGCAAGACAATCAGCCTTAAGCCTAAGAGTTTGAGGTTGCTGTAAGCTGTGATACCACAACACTCTACGCAAGGCAATAGCTTGAGACTCTGTCTCAAAAAAAAACAAAAAACTTTATGCTAAGTAAAATAAGCCAGGCACAAAAGCAAAAAGCAAAACTACTATATATGATCTACTTATATGAGATACCTATATTAGGCAAATTCAAAGAGAGAGAAAGTATAGTAGATGATACTGAGGTGGAGAAGGGGATGGAGAGTTAACATTCAACGGATATAGTTTCTGTTTGGGGTAATAATAAAAAAGTTCTGGAAACACGGTGTGTGACATACCTTTTGGGGGCAAGACACAATTGTAAGAGGGACTTTACCTAACAAATGCAATCAGAGTAACCTGGTTTCTTGTACTCTCAATGAATTAAAAAAAAAAAAAAAACCAACAATAAAAGAAAAAAAAAGTCAGCTTGGTGCCTGTGGCTCAAGCAGCTAAGGCACCAGCCACATACACCTGAGCTAGCGGGTTCGAATCCAGCCCCGGCCCACCAAACAATAATCACAGCTACAATCAAAAAATAGCTGGAATTGAGGCAGGCGCTTGTGGCAGGCACCTGTAAGTGCCTAAAAAGGTCCCATCTTCACCCTTCAACCCGGCCCCAGCCAAACTGCAACAAAAAATATCTAGGCACTGTGGCAATCGCCTGTAGCCAAACTGCAACAAAAAATACCTGGGCACTGTGGTAATTGCCTATAGTCTCATCTACTCAGGAGGCTGAGGCAAGAGAATCGCCTAAGCCCAGGAGTTGGAGGTTGCTGCAAGCTGTAATGCCACAGCACTCTACCAAAGATGATAG